GTGTGAGAGAGAGAGAGAGAGAGAGAGAGAGAGAGAGAGAGAGAGAGAGAGAGAGAGAGAGAGAGAGAGAGAGAGAGAGAGATGGCAATATTCATACGAAAAAGAATGCAGACTCGCAGAGGCCTTTTTTTAATGAATTTAGCCATATTTCTGCATTGAATCCAGCATAGAAATATGGCAGTATTCATTTGAATGTCGACACTTCGTTCCATTTCCTACAAGTTGAGAACTTTCCAAAGTGTGTTGTGGGCAGTGGTGCACGTGACGTACACATAAGTGTTGGATAGTGTACGGTCCTTCGTCTGACATATCCCATTGCAGTTCTCTACGAACGTTGCATCACTCGAGCGAGTAGACATGGCAGGGGAAGGGCGTTCGATCAACCGTCTGCCCGTTCCGGAAAGGCTGCGACATGACATTAACCTTTTGTCGCATAAAATCACTTCATCGGAAAGGGAGGTTGAATGCCTGTGCGAAACGCTTATTCGCAGGGGGGATTTCGTGATGGTTACAGTGCTCGCAGACGTCGATTCATCAAATGTAGGTGTTGTGCAAGCGGGGGGCTGTGCTGCTAAGTGGGCGAGCAGAGTGCAGAGACGACTCAAAAAAACACATGAAGAAGTCTTTGCGCAATGTCGACAATATGTCGCCCTGTACGAAGAGACAGCAACACTTTTGTTCGCTTGTGAGGATATTAGGGATGAGTTGCGAGCAAAGGAAAGGGAAAAAGACAGTGAAATGTCAGTTGCTGTATGAATTGTCTAGATGTCGGAACACTTGTTAGTCGTACGAGCTGAAAGTCGCCTCTTTGGTAGACAACATGGCATCCCTGCGGGCTGTCTTGTGCAGTGAACAGAAACACGTGAACGAGATCCACACGTGTGGAATGCGAAGGCATCTCTTGCCGTTCATACGCGCTTGTGGTGTTCAGATGATGCCCGTGTGTCTTGGTAGGTTGCTTCAGAGGGCAGTTGCTGTAGCTGGCATGTCCTTTTTTATGTAGACGACAATGCCAATGATGGTTCAGTAGTGTATGTGCCCGTGCGTGTGAGTCTATGTGTGTATGTGTGTGTGTGTGTGTGTGTGTGTGTGTGTGTGTGTGTGTGTGTGTGTGT